CGAAGGATGTGCAGTAAATCTAATCTACCTGGATTTCAGTAAGGCACTTCATACAGTTCCACATGGAAAATTATTAGTTAAATTGGAGAAGATGGGGATTAATATGAGAATTGAAAGGTGGATAAGGAACTGATTAAAGGGGAGACTACAATGGATCATACTTAAAAGTGAACTGTCAGGCTGGAGGGAGATTACTAGTGGAGATCTTCACAGACTGGTCTTGAGACCAATTTTATTTAACATTCTTATTAATGACCTGGCATAAAAAGTGGGAGTGTGCTAATAAAATCTGTGGATGACACAAAGTTGGGAGGTATTGCCAATATGGAGGTGGACCGGAATATCCCACAAGATGATCTGGATGACTTTGAAAACTGGAGTAATAGAATTGGGATGAAATTTAATAATGCAAAGTGCAAGGTCATGCACTTAGAGACAAGCCTAAGTCTATTTTGCTATAAATTGGTGACTTATCAGTCAGCAGAGACTGAGGAGGAGAAAGACCTGGGTGTATTGATTGATCACAGGATGACTGAGTCGCCAATGTGATGTCCTAGGATGCATCAGCAAGGTATTTCCAGTAGAGACAGAAGTGTTAGTGCCCTTATATGAGGCACTGGTGAGACTGCATCTGGAATACTGTCTGCAATTCTGGTCTCCCATATTTAAGACAGATGAATTCAAATTGGAACAGATGCAGAGAACGGCTATTAACATGATCCAAGGAATGCAAAACCTACCTTCTGAGAGGAGACTCAGAGTTTGGCTTGTTTAGCCTAACTAAAAGAAGGCTGAGGAGAGATATGATTGCTCTCTATAAATACATCAGAGGGATACAAACTTAAATAACTCCACTCCTTCCCTGGTAAAGTAACCGCGTGGATACAAGAACAAACAGCTATAAACTGGCCATCGACAAGTTTAGGCTTGAAATTACATGAAGGTTTCTAACAATCAGAGAAGTGAATTTCTGAAACAGCCTTCCAAGGGGAGCAGTGAGGGCAAAGAAACTAATTGGCTTATGGAGGGGATGGTATGATGGGACTGCCTACAATGGCATGTAGCTGATCTTTTACTGCTAGCACTGAATATTGCCAATGGCTGGTGATGGGACACTAGATGGGGAGGGCTCTGTGTTTCTACAGAGAATTATTGCCCAGGTGTCTGGCTGGTGGGACTTGCCCACAAGCTCGTGGTCTAACTGATCGCCATATTTGGGATCAGAAAGGAATCCCCCACTCCTCAGGTCAGATTGGCAGAGACCCTGTGGGGTTTTCACCTTCCTCTGCAGCCTGGGTCATGGGTCACTTGTAGGCTTAAACTAGTGTAAATGGTGGATTCTCTACAACTTGAAGTCTCCAGATCATGATTTGAGAACTTCATTAACTCAGCCAGAGGTTATGGGTCTATTACAGGAGTGGGTGGGTGAGAGTCTGTGGCCTGTAATGTGCAGGAAGTCAGAGTAGATAATCACGATGGCCCCTTCTGGCCTTAAAGCCTATAAGTCTATGCATCTCAGAATGAAATATAAAACACTAGCAGAAAATATAAATAAAAGCATATTATAGAACTCTTGAGTCTCACTGTCCTGAAGTTCCTCTGAGTGAGTAAATTCTGTGCTTTAGGTAGTGAATGAGAATTCTGCACCACAGACTGTACTTGGTTCGTCTTGTTTGACATGTATATTTTAATGTCACTTATTTCTCATGTACTTAGTGCATGTAAAAAAATTTAGTAATAAGACTTCATTATGGCAATGATTCTTAAATCTGTGAGGAGTGGAGTAAGATGGCTGGGTTTTATGAGACTTAGGGATTGAAGGAGTCCTGCAATTAAACTGGTAAGTTTCTCCTTCATAATGTAATATAGAGAGGATCTACTTTGCTCCTACTCAACAACAAAGCCAATTTAAGGCTACACAGATTTGTAAATCATGTTCTGTACCCAAAAGCAGCTGAAATGAAACCCAAATACCCAGTGTCTAATGTAAAACACAATACAGTATTCCTGCCAGCATGCCTTTCTGAAGGCTTGCACAAAGAGACTGCCTGATATTGATATCGAAAAGGGGTGGGTCAGGGAAGAATGGGTTCCAAGGCTGAATCTGTCTATAGGAGCTTGTTCTCAGTGTGATCTAAATGATAATAGATAATACTATTAGGAGTACATCTGTATATGTAAGCAAAGGGCTGATTGATTAGCTATTTATTAAAAGTCCAGTGTTTCTGGTGCTTATAATAATCCATAACATCCTCTAGAAGCATTTAATGTGTTCTAGATGACTAGAAGCATGAGACACTTTTGCCTGTAACATGCTTATACATCTATCATTAAAGCTTTATAAACTATTTATTAAATTTACCCTTAATATAAAGTGCAACCATTACTTGGATTGCAGTAGCAGTCATAATGTGCTAGGCACTTTCCAAACACAGGTGAAGAGACAGTCCTTGACCAAAAGTGCCTTTGATTGGAGGCTTTAAAATTGCTTTACGCACACTAATTTTCTCTGATGGGGAAAGAGCAGAACTACCTGCAGTTGTTACTATCTTGCCAGAGGAGAGAAACTTAATTTTTAATTTCTAGCTAGAGTTCAGAAGAGTGGACGACTACACTGTCTACGTAATTCAGATCTGAGTTTGTTGTTAGTCCCTGTGCAGTTTTCACCAGAACTTTGATTTCTGGGATGATCATCAAAGCTGCAGCCTCTTCCCCTTTCTTCGTCTAGATCTTTTTGTTTCAGTAAGTACAACTTTTCAAGCTGATATGCAACTCAGTAGACACAATGAACGGGGAAAATATTTCCAGTGTAATCTGGTACAAAAGACTAAAAATGTTACTAAGTAAACATTTACTCTCCCAAATGGTTGTAGGTGCAGGGTGGGGTTTTTTTCTAATCATATCTGGTAACTTTGGGAATTACTGGTGGCAAAGTAATAAACTTCAAAGAAAAAGTAATCTCCTAAAATGCTTTAAGATATAAACAAAGAACAATCAGACTGAAATAACGCAATGAGGGCAATAGACTGATCTAAAGAAGAAAAAGGACCTGGAACTACAAGGCTTTCAGCTTCTAATTCCTAATGGGAAACACAGTCTGATGTTGCAGTTCAAATAAACCCTCCAAAGTTTGGAAGGTTATTGCAATTTACTGGAGATGCTTGGATCTGGTTTTTTGACAAGAAAATTTTCTTGTGGAATTTCTATTTCCTACTTCAGCCTATTTGCTATACTCCATAGGAGAAGTTTTTGTTGTAGTAACAGGTTTCAGAGGAACAGCCGTGTTAGTCTGTATTCGCAAAAAGAAAAGGAGTACTTGTGGCACCTTAGAGACTAACCAATTTATTTGAGCATGAGCTTTCGTGAGCTCACGAAAGCTCATGCTCAAATAAATTGGTTAGTCTCTAAGGTGCCACAAGTACTCCTTTTCTTTTTGTTGTAGTAGTATGCTATTTGTTTCTGTTCTTATGCCCCAGACTTCTTGTGAGACCTTGGTCAAATCACTAAGGGTATCCCTACGTTGCAGCTGGAGGAGTGATTGCAGCACATGTAGACATACCTGAGCTAGCTTTAAGCTAGCTAGTTCAAGTCCAAGAGCAGTAAAACTGTGGTGGCATGGTCTACAGCATGAGCTGTACTAGCCCACCCAGGACCCTGGCTGTGTACTCTGGCAGTGGCGACTAGCCTGTGCTTTAGTCCAGTGATTCTCAAAGCCAGTCTGCCGCTTGAGCAGGGAAAGCCCCTGGCACGCCGGACCGGTTTGTTTACCTGCCGCGTCCGCAGGTTGGGCCGATCCCGGCTCCCACTGGCCGCAGTTCGCCGCTCCAGGCCAATGGGGGCTGCGGGGAGCGGCGTGAGCCCTATTGGCCTGGAGCGGCCAACTGCGGCCAGTGGGAGCTGGGATCGGCCCAACCTGCGGACGTGGCAGGTAAACAAACCAGTCCGGCGTGCCAGGGGCTTTCCCTGCACAAGCGGCGAACTGGCTTTGAGAACCACTGCTTTAGTCCACACTGCCACAGCTTCACTGCTATTGGTATCCAAGCTAGCTGGATTAAAACTAGCTCTGGTATGGCTACAGAGGCTGCAGTCACACCTCTCATGGAGTGACTTTAGCCTCTCTGTGACTCCATTCCCCACCTGTACAATGGGGATAATAGTACTTCCCTACCTCACAGAGGCGTTGAGGATAAATACATTGTGAGAGCCTCAATACTGCAGGAATGGGGGCCAAATAAGATAGCTAGGTGGAGCTTCATATTTAGTTCCCTGCTGTATTGCAGGTTTTTTTCTCCTGTTGCGTTTACTTTGAGTTCAGGTTTGTATACCCCAAATCCCTGCATTTCACCTTGGTTTTGGGCCCAAACCATGAAAAGCCCCAGTGTGCTGCAGGGTAGTTTGACTTGAAATGATAACTTGGTCTCTAGATCTTTGGAAAGCTAATCCAAAATCAGGTTTCAGAGTAACAGCCATGTTAGTCTGTATTCACAAAAAGAAAAGGAGTACTTGTGGCATCTGAGAGACTAACCAATTTATTTGAGCATAAGCTTTCGTGAGCTGCATGAGCATCCGATGAAGTGAGCTGTAGCTCACGAAAGCTTATGCTCAAATAAATTGGTTAGTCTCTAAGGTGCCACAAGTACTCCTTTTCTTAATCCAAAATCAGTGGCTTGCTGTGAACGTGTTGCACAATTTTAGTGCAGGCTTTCAAGAATGAAATTGTCTTTGGTAAACTAATAGAGTTCTTTAAAATCTCAAAAGGGAAAGATTCACGTGAAGAATTGCCCATTCTCTGGTCCTGTCTGCACACCTAGATACCTGAATGGTGAGTGCATTAGACATGTCCGAATAGATACTCCTTCCTGATGGCTACACTCCATGACCTTGGACAAGTCAGTTATCGTTTTGTAGTCCTGTCAAAACGGAGTACAAACACGACCTCACTGTAAACAAAATGCTGCTGTGTCACTCTGAGAAATCTACTCATTAAATGGTGTGCTTACCTGTACATAAATTATGGTAGTCATGATGATCACAAATGTACAGGCTGCCAGGGTCCCCAAGCATATGACAAATTTAGTTTCTGATGGCTTGCAGGAATCTTGCAATGTGTCTTCTATTCCTAAGCATAAAATATTACAATTTAAAATAAAACCTGGTTCTGAAGCAAATACTCTCCACTCAGGTTTCATTGAGCTTTTCATAAAAATGTAGGCTTTAAAAAAAAAAACCAAAAACCCAACACACACTTTAAGAGAAATGTTTTGTTGTTTTTGCAGAGTCAAAACACAGGGACTCCAAAAGGGCTTTTGGAAAACAAAATGTCAAGCCATTTGCAAGTTAGTATACAAAAATGTTTCCCTGTCTAAAAACAGGGTCTAGAAACTAGAAACCAGCTGCAAATATGTGACTGCATTGGGACTGTAGTTTTAATCTTAAAAACCATGAACATTATTTTAATATTTAATGTCTGACACAAAGCCAATAGTTCATAGATTGTGGGTTTTGATAGTGTAACTTTAAGAGCATCTTGTTGTTCTATAGTATTGTCAAGGTTCCTCCCCCACTCTGAACTCTAGGGTACAGATGTGGGGACCTGCATGAAAAACTTCCTAAGCTTATCTTTACCAGCTTAGGTCAAAACTTCCCCAAGGTACAAAATATTCCACCCTTTGTCCTTGGATTGGCCGCTACCACCACCAAACAAATACTGGTTACTGGGGAAGAGCAGTTTGGAAATGTCTTTCCCCGCCCCCACAAAAATACTTCCCAAAACCTTGCACCCCACTTCCTGGACAAGGTTTGGTAAAAAGCCTCACCAATTTGCCTAGGTGACTACAGACCCAGACCCTTGGATCTTAAGAACAATGAACAATCCTCCCAACACTTGCACCCCCTCCCTTTCCTGGGAAATGTTGGATAGAAAGCCTCACCAGTTTGCATAGGTGACCACAGACCCAAACCCTTGGATCTGAGAACAATGAAAAAGCATTCAGTTTCTTACAAGAAGACTTTTAATAGAAATAGGAGTAAATAGAAGTAAAGAAATCACCTTTGTAAAATCAGGATAGTAGATACCTTACAGGGTAATTAGATTCAAAACATAGAGAATCCCTCTAAGCAAAACCTTAAGTTACAAAAAAGATACACAGACAGAAATAGTTATTCTATTCAGCACAATTCTTTTCTGAGCCATTTAAAGAAATCATAATCTAACACGTACCTAGCTAGATTACTTACTAAAAGTTCTAAGACTCCATTCCTGGTCTATCCCCGGCAGGAAACCAGCATAAGACAGACACACAGACCCTTTGTTTCTCTCCCTCCTCCCAGCTTTTGAAAGTATCTTGTCTCCTCATTGGTCATTTTGGTCAGGTGCCAGCGAAGTTACCTTTAGCTTCTTAACCCTTTACAGGTGAGAGGAGTTTTCCCCTGGCCAGGAGGGATTTCAAAGGGGTTTACCCTTCCCTTTATATTTATGACAAGTATATAATTCATATTTTACTGAAATGAATAACCATTTATAAATACACCATTCAGCCCTAGATGGTATAAATAAACCTATGACTTTATGTCTGAAAGCATCAGTTATCTGCTACAGCACATAGGTGTGGCATTTGAAAATGGGGTTGTTTCCAAAATGCAAATTTCGTGACTTAGGCCAAAGGAGAAACTTTTTAACTGGAATACTGAGGATGTGATATTTACATAGCACCCAATTTGTGCTAGGTCCTTTAGTAGCAGTAAGGTTCTTATATTCTGCAGGCTAGTCACTAGAGGGCAGTACTGTACCAAAACAGCAGTAATGCGTGGTAGAATGGGGAAACTTGTGAATTGGTGATGTCCCTGGTACAGTATACTAGTTCTGTGAATAAACCTAGAATTTCAGTCTCCAGAGCTGTTGATGCAGCATTTTGCATTAGTATTAAAGTGTGGGGGGGTGTTTGTTTTTCCAGACTATGGGGAAAAAATGCCTGCATTTAAGGATAAAGATGGCTCATTACATTTAAACTTAAGTAGGGACAGTAGTTGCTATTTAAGAAGTCACCATTTGCCAACAAATATCATAAAATGGTTTCTCATGCTACAGTTTCTCTCTGTAGAACATAACAGCCTGGTGTCCGTTGGCAATACTGGTATGTTAATAGTGACTGAAGTATGGTCTTGTACCTTTAAGACTAACACAATTTAGCTGAAGATCAAGGAAAAGTTTCAAAATGAGGCTACCTACCACAGATGTAAGTTCCATTGCTACTTCCTTCTAGATACGGAGGTGGTATCAGGCGTGCCACCTTGCAGGTGTACAGACCAACGTCCCGTGGTTGAAGATTCTTCACTTCTAAGAAGACTACACCTTTTAGAAGATTGCCTGTGAGCTTGTACTTTCCATCATCCCTTGACAACGAAGCACTTTGGTTTAAAGGCAACATCTTTGAAGACATAGTTATTTTCTTCACGGAATCATTGAAAAGCGGCAGTTGAATATTCCAGTTGACTTCAATTTCAGCCTCTGATAGAAACTGGAAGTCAAATATACAATCAAGAAGTGCAGATGTGCCATATTTAATAGAGGCTATGGCGGGATATTGCTTTACTGTGATATAGGCTGTAAAATAAAAGCACAAATCATCTATTAGTCCATGTTCCTTTCTTATCTCGCAGATCTTCAGCTACTGCTTCCAAATTAGTCCTAAATTTTCACACTTGCTTTAAGATTAATCTGCCTCCAAATGTAATTAGGCACTAATCTGGCTGTTTGATAGATTAAAAATAGCCTTAATTAGAAGGCTGTGTGTTCTCTCATGGGGCTGTTACATGAGTATTCCTGATTATATCACAGCAGGAGCACTGCTTTCTCAATGTTTGCTTGCTTTAAGAAAGCCCTCATCAAAAGGGGAGACGATGTAAAAGGGTAATTAGAGATTAGTGTAGCTCCTGTTCTGGAGAGAGGGGTCTGGAATTTTAGTTCCTAATTCACACAGTGTTGTTGTTGTTTTTTCTAAATATATAAAAATTTTGTTCAGGTTTCCTCAAGCAAGTTTTTCATCTTTTAAAAAATTGTCTTGTTAAGGAGGTGGGAACATCCATGTTGTGAGAAAGCCGCACAGCAGTGCCCAATTGCTGTACTTCATCTAACAGTCTGTTTCTGCAACCCCAAAGCTGAGAAGTGCTTACACACACACAAGTAATAATACCTGGCTCTTATATCCTGCTTTCCATCTAGAGATCTCAAAGCATGTTACAGAGGAACTCAGTGTTCTTATCCCCATTTTATAGATGGTGAAATATAAGACAGGGAGGTGAAGTGACTGACTTGTCCAAGATCATCCAGCAGAAGAGCTGGGAATAGAACCTATGTCTCCTCAGGCCTAGTCTGGTGCTCTATCTACAAGACCCCACTGTCTTCCCTATTGATGATGATTGGGCAATATTGTTCATTGTGAGCAATCCTGTAGAGCTCGGCACTAATACTATGGAGACGCACTTTACATATGCATATCACTGATGTAACAATTGGATTGTTAAATGCTGGATATTTTCTGGTTAGAAAGTTGAAATATTGGATCAGGTTGGACAACCATGAGCCAAGGGAGCACTTTTGTGGAGAGAAGAGGATTGATGCCTTCTTTCAGACCGTAGAGTTCCTAAAATACTAGGGAAGCTGCTGTGATTCAAAACAATTTAGGGGCCTACTTGTTTCCTCAAAGTTGAGTTAGCTTCATGCCCAACTTAACATGTAGCAGCATTAATGTGTATGTACCTACATAGATATTCAAATGTCCATAACTTGAGTTTCCAAAGCTTAACAAGGTTGGCTTTTCAAAAAGGGGTAAGTGATTTAGTAGCAAATTCCACTGAAAGTCAATGGGACTTGTGCGGCTAAATTACTCATTTTTTTTTCAAAAGTTCAGTTTGGATTCAGCTTTTTCACATGCTATCGCCCCAACTACCTAAAGTGCATCATTTTTTTTTCTTATTTATTGAGGAAGTTTTAACAAGTTTACAAATCCTTGCCATGTAAATACGAGAAACAAAACAATCCTTAGAACTGTTATCTTTTGTTTAAAGAGATATTATACAGGAATCTAATCATCAGATCTTTCTATTTAACAGGGTGTTGCCATATTACAGAATGAGCATCATTCCAACACCCATGTTGTTTTCTAGTGATTTCATTAGATTTAGTGAAATCTCTCTCTCTCTCTCTCTACTAATCTCTATATTTAACAGATCAGGTGTGTCTATCAAATTTTAACATTTAAAAAAAAATGGGCAGGTATGCTGGGGTGGAGGTTAGATTAATGTACTTTGAGGACTGAATACAAGGTAACCAAATATCTGTCTGCCTTTTTGCTGCATAGGTAATTGGTGTGTTAATTTTTTTCATAACCACAACTTATATTTTTTGAACCATTGCTCAATGGTTGAGCTATTTTTATTTTTCTATTGAGACACTACCAGTTACCAAGCAGCTTCTAACAGATAAGAGAATAATTCTTCATTTCCTTTTGTGTGACCATTTCCACTAGGAAGCTCCGGGAGGTTTACCAAAGGATCATTTTGGTGATAAATTTCCAACCATTTGCTTACGGATTGCATCCCAATACACTCTGACTGGACGTATCTACCTCCTAAGCACAGAATCTCTTCTTCAACCACAATTTTGCCAACATTTATCCCCATTCAGTCTCTCTCTCTTTTTTTTTTAACCTGGTTGGTGTGAGGTACCACTGAAATAGTATCTTAAAGAAATTTTCTTTTATTGTGCTTCAGACTGAGGTTGGCTGGTCCTCTTTTCCAGATCAAACCCTATTTCTCTGGGGTAATTTTTCTATCTACGTACTTTTCACAAAGTGTCATATAGGAACACTTTTTTCCCCTTTTTTTTTTATTTTTTTTTTTTTTAAAAAAAAATCTGTCTGTAAAGATTGATATAAACTAGTGGTTTGTTTGGTTTTGTTTTTGTTTCCTAATTGATCAGACACCATCACTTCTATTAAAGTTAGCTTTCTCCATAAAACAGATTTTCTAGAAAGTTGAGAGAAACAGTGCCTGACTTGAAGTACTGGTACCAGGGGAGAGTGGTTTAGTTAAAATTAGTTTTGATTGCTAAATAACTTGGCCAGCTATTCAGCAAAAGTGCCTAACTGTAAGTATTCCACAGAGTGGTTTGACATTTAAATCATAGCGCTCTTCCATGTTGTTTGAGATTTAAATCTCACATCTCTTATAGAATTGGTTGCCTACTTATTTTCTGGAAGATTGACTCTTAAGAGAGTCTGGCAAACTTATAGCTAGCATTTCAGATTTGGTATAATTTACTTTAAATCTGGATGCTTTACTAAAATCTTAGATTTCATTAGACACTAATTTTAGGGAAATATTTGGTTTAGATAAAAATATTACATCTGCATATAATGCTATTTTCTGATGTGTTCCTGCAAGTTTTATTCCTGTGATGGATCCATTGTTCCTTGTCCTCTGTGCAAAAGACTCCATGGCCAGTGCAAAAAAGTAAAGGAGAGAGTGGACACCCCTGCTTAGTCCCTCTGTGTAATTCAAACAGAGGAGATTTAACCTCATTAACTTGCATAGCTGTTTTTGGGCTGGTGTAAAGAGCAGTTATCCATTAAAGGAAATTGGGGCAGAAGTCCATATGGGACAGGACTTGAAACGGAAAGTTCCACTCTACTCTATCAAAGACTTTCTCTGGCATTATGGATGATTCCAAGCACTCCCCAGATATTGTCCGATGTTTGTCTATCCTTAATGAATCCAGTTAGATCCGGATTTATACAAACTGAGAGCATACACTGCAGTTGGCTGGCTAGTATTTTTGCTAAAGTCTTTGTCACAATTCAACAGAGAGATGGGCATATAGGAACTGCATAAGGTAAGGTCTTTTTCATCTTTAGAGAGAACAACCACGATAACTTTCTTTCACAAGTTGTAGAAGTTCCTCCCCTAACAGAATTGCATTGAAGATACCTCTCAAAGCACCCACCAACACCTCCCTACATAGCTTATAAAGTTCAGCTTGAAAGCCATCAGATACTAGGAGTTTACCACTTTTCATACTTGCTACTACCTCTAGGATTTCTTCTGTTATTTCTTTAGATAAAGTTTCTTTATCAATTTGGCTTTTCTTTGGAGAGCCTGCAACTTCCAGATATTTTTAATAACTTCAGAGCTTGGAGTATCTGTGGTATAGAGAGTTTATTATTAAACAGAAAAAGTAGCACATATTTCATTTAGGCTGTAACAATCTTTTGCCAATTGCTTTTAATTGGGGGGAATAATATATGTTGTTCTTGAAGCCAATAACCTATCATTTTTATTTCCTTTTTTCATAAAACATCTGTTTTGTATCTCCAAGGGCTTTTTCTCTGGCATCAACATATTCAACTTCCCCCTAATATTAGTTAATTGTTTGTTTTTCTGCACTTGTGCTTTGTGAATGTCTTGTAACCTTTTTATCTCTTGTTCTAACTTCTATTTTTTTCTAGAGCTCTTTTTTCAATTGAGAGGCTCTGCTTATCAGCTAACCCCTAAATACAGCTTTTCCTGACTCCCAGAGAAGGCATGTTTTTATATTGTCCATATTGTTTAATTTGAAGTATTGAACAATGTCTTTCATTGCTGCAACCTGATCTTTCCTTGGAGAAGCAAGCAGTTCATTTTCCAGTATAGTGATCTTTGGGGCCCAACCCAGCTATCAAATATTACTTCCACTGGTGCATGATCTTGTAATGTTGCCAGTTTCTGCAGATCTTGTTAGATTCATTAAGGATTTAGAGATTGGAAGGGTGTAAATAACATGAGTAATCTCTTTCCCCTTGGCATAATTCTCACCAGCAATCTGAAAGAGTGAATAGTTGGCACCAGGAAGTCAGTACTATACCTGTTTCCCTATCCAACATGGGGTGTGGTCTCCCCCCCTCCCCCCGCCACCACCACCATTGTTCTAGGATGCATCTGAAGTCTCCTGCAAGTATAATTTCCCCTTTCCCAAAGTTTTATCGGGTTTTAAACTGATCCCACTGTTGTTAATAACCCAGCAATATAAATAGTCCCTTTTTATCCACAAATTGATGTTTAATCTGAAAAGGTACATGTTCAGCTGAAGGAAAGAGGATTGGGCATAATATTTGCTAAAGTAAAATATGTCTGTTGAAATCAGCTGCCTTTCATGCCTATTATTTTTGCCTCCTGAAAATGAATTTCTTGAAGTAGAATAATTTGAGAGTGGGTTTTTAAGTTCCACCGGGGTTTTTGTTCCTTTTTAATTACATTATTTAGCTCTTAGACTTTCAAAGATGTTACTTTAAAAGGAAGAGACATTGACAGTAACTAGTTTAGCTTAAACCTTAAATTATTACAATTATTTAGCTGTTTGATTACATGAACACTTGTGTTGCCAATGTTTCTTGATTCTAATTATGCTGCATTTACTACTGTGTGCTGGAATATGGCGTGGTTTATGTTTGTGAGCTTCCATGTCTATTTCTTGTATTAATTCCTCCCTGCCTCCCTAGTTACCTTCCCTCTACTCCGTTCCCTTTACTCTAAAACCACAAATGAAATACCAACATAACATGTAAAACA